GAGCGCTCGCATGCCGCCCCGCACAAATTTCGGCGCACCCCTCACACGCTTCGTGACCCCATAGGGAGCTCCAGCGAAGGTCCCTGTGGGGATGTTCGCATGCAGTCCCGCGTCCACTGCGGCGCTCCCCCTCACACGCTTCTTGGCTTCGTAGGGGGCCCCACCAAAGACGATAGTAATAGCTGCATTCCTCTCAACTGCAAAGCGTTGGGCCTGTCGCCAGGATAGCTGTTCATGCTGCCTGTATGTGTGTGCGTGTGCAGTGCGCGAGGTTTCGCACGCTGCGCCTTCGACAACGCTCGATCGCAGTTCGCACTTCCATCTGCTGCCCATGCTGGAGGACCCTCTGCGCCGCTGACTCAAAACGAGCGAGGGAGAGTGTGTGTGTGAGTGTGTGTGTGTGCGTGACAGTGCCCTGTCCTGTGCTAGACCCTGAGCGCGTGCAAAACGCGCATGCCTGTACAGCATATCTATATTTTTTTTTTCTCTCTCTCTCTCTCTCTCTACAGTCGGGGCCTTGAAGAAAGAACCCTTTTCGTTGGGGAGGGACTCCGCGTTCCTTAAGTGTTTCGCAGCTTGCCTCAGGTGTTCCTTATGTTTTCGATCGGAAATCGAGGTTTAACTTATGGAAAAAAGGGGCCTCGTTCCTTACTTAGGGTTCCTTAGGTCAAGGCCCCGACTGTACGTGCAGCCGAGGTGCCCCCCCGGGGCCTCGACCGGGGTTGCCCGCTTCGTGGTCGAGGCCCGCCGTGGCCAGGGGGAGAGCTCCCTCGTCCCTGCTGTGGCGCTCCTACTCTGGCATCGGCACCGCGCGGGCGTGTGCATGTTTTCCTCGGCGAGAACCATCGAGGACCATCGAGGACGATCCTGGACCATTCTGGACCATCGAGGACCATCCTGGACCATCGAGCAACAAAAAAAAAACACGCACGACACCGACGAATGCACGGGAAAGGGACGTCCGAGCGGCGGCAAGTGGCGGTGCCCCGATCGGAATTCTAGACGTGCGTGTGTCGGTATCGTTTCACCGACCCCCATTCCTAGCCTCATCCCCTTCGAGACCCCCTCCAATCTACCACCCCGGCTGGGGATACATCCCTCGAAACCCGAAGGGAATTGCCTATATCCCCATCTAAGAGACGACGACGACAACGGACGACGGACGACGGACGACGGGCGACGATGACGGCGACGACGACGGCGGACAATGGACGACGGCGACGACGGACGACGATTACGACGACGGACGACGGACGACGGGCGACGGTCGACGGACGACGGACGACGACGACGACGAATACGACGACGACGACGACGAATACGACGAAGGCTACGAAAATGACACGGATTACTCTGCAGGAGCGCAAGCGGGTTCACGGCTTGGCTTGTGTTAGGGACCCGCAGGTGCGGGGGAGAGAGTTCGATTGCCCTCGCCCAGTCGGCCTCCGCTGCCCGCTGCGCTTGGAGCTCCCTCGTCAACGCCGTGCTCCCTCCCCCTCCTCCTCTTCCTCCTCCTCCTCCTCCTCCTCCTCCTCCTCCTCCTCCTCCTCTTCCTCCCTCCTGCTCCTCCATCATCCTCGTCTCCTCCTCCAGTCGAGTTTCTTACCTCCCCACGTCCTCCACACTGCTCACCTCATCGCCTCCTGGCATCCTGACCTCATCCGTCCTCCTCACCTCCTCACCTCACTCCTCCCCTCTTCCTTCTCCTCCTCCTCTTCCTCCTCCTGTGTTTTGCCGCTGCTCAGACACAGGTGCGAAGCCTGTTGTGTGCGCCCTCCTCCCCCCCCTCCTCCTCTTCCTCCTCCTCCCCCTCCTCCTCTATGTCCTCCGTGCTTTGAGCTTCGAATCTCCGGTCGTCGCCGTCCTCCCTCCTCCCTTCTCGCCCCCTCCCGCTCCCCGGGCGGGGCACCGCGGGAGGACATCTACGACCTGCAGGGGGCGCAGACCAGGGAAAAAGTGGAGGCGATGAACGAGCAGCCGCTCCGACCCGACCGTGTTTCTGTTGTTCGCCGCTGCCTCTCTGCGCTGTGTGCTCGCCAGTCAGGGGAACAACAAGAACGATACCGATGCCTGCGCTCGTCCTGGAGATGCCCCGTCGCGGCGGCGGGATTCTGCTTGAGATTCTCGTTAGAACGCGCCCGGGGAGACGTCCAGGGATTCGCGGTATCTGTAGCCTTTCGTTTCCCTCGGCGTCTGTGTTGCATGCGGAAGGGGCGCCTCTCTGGAACAGTCCGCACTTCAGTCTTCCCCAGCCGCCGGAACGCCTTCCAGCCGATCCAAGCAGAAAGCTGCGCAACGAGGGCACGCAACACGACTCGAGAAGGAGGCGGAGGAGGCGAAGGAGGAGGAGGAGAACAGGGAGGAGAGCCTGGGGGGGGGGGGGGGGGAAATGACGACGATGCCTCGCGTCATGAGATGGAGGAAGCAGACGAGTTCGGTTTTGCGGGTGAGGGGAATGATGGTTTGGACGAAGATGATGCTGATTTATGGCGATTGCGATGTGGATGAGATCAAGAAGCAGAGGAAGAAGAGGATGAGGAGGAACGGCGGAGGGGGGGGACGAGGGGGAAGCGATGGGAAGATATGGGGTGAGCGAAGATCGGGAGCAGGGTGAGGAGGGGGAGGGGACGGGCTGGAGGAGAGTGGGAGGAAAGGCGGAGGGCCAGATGCGAACAAGAGGAGAAGAGGCGGGTGTGTAGGAGATCGGGGGGTATGAAGGGAAGTAGGAGCATGAGAGAGGAGGGAGTAGGATTGAATATTGAAGAAGGGAGGATGATGTTTGGAGGGAGGAGGGAGGGGAGCAGCGCGAGGAGTAGCGCGCTGAGAATGTGAGGAGGGACTCGAGGATATCCCGTGTCCCTCAATAGTTCTGGGGGTACCTGTAGTCCGGGGAGGGTACCTGTAGTCCAGGGGAGGGGTACCTGTAGTCCAGGGAGGGGGGACCAGCAGTCCTGGGTGGGGTACCTGTAGTCCGGGAAGGGTACGTGCAGTCCCAGGGGGGGGTGGTACCTGTAGTCCGGGGGGAGGGGTATCTGTAGTCCGGGGAGAGGGTGCCTGTAGTCCGGGGGTGCCTGTAGCCCGGGGGCCCAGAACCATTGAGGGACACATAGTACAGGAGACGCCGGAGCAGGACATTTCATTTATTCAATGGGCCTGATAAATGGGGCGACCCTGTCACCTGGCTCTCGCACTCGGGCGCGTGAATATGCTGTGCGAGCTTCTGGCGAGCGTTTGTGCGTTGGTGAACTTTCGATCTGCCGTACGTTTGGACGAGCGCACCGAGTCACACCAGCGAATAGTTAGGGATCTCATGTTCCTCAGCTGCAAACGATCTCACTAAGACGTTCGATATTTACCTTCGGTCGCATGATGTTGCAATTGATATATGACGTGGTTGTGGGAATGGGAATTCGGTTGCGAGCTTGAAGCGCTTGAAGCCTCGAGATCCCAGCCTTATCGGAATGGCAGTAATGAGGGTTAGTGATTTGATGCGGGAAGCGTACCAGGTTTACCAGTGGGGGGAAGATATGGACCATGCTTGTTGAGACCACTTCAACGTCAGCTCTCGCAGCCAGTCCCCTCGCAGCTCTCAGTTTTCTTCCGCCCTGCTTTGAACTCGCCCACTGGCCCGTTCTGGCGCAGGTTGCGCGAGTACGGTGTCCGCGTCCAACAGTTCATAGTGAGGAGCTCCTGCCTGTGATAATCGCTGTGGGGTCTGCTGCGTTCCTGTAGCGAACGTCCGGCCAGCGGATCTCTACCGGATGCCACTGCTTATCAGTTGGTCCATTCTCAGGAGGGAAAGAAACACACAGGCACAATGAACCGCGGATCCCCCAGAACAAATATATATATATGGGAAGATATGGGAAGTGGGGGGGAAGACAAACACCCAAAACATATGGGAGCATATGGGGAATCTTTTTGCTCGTGACTATTTACTGGTGTGTCCTGGGGCCCCTTTACATTCGCATGCGCCGTGATCGAGTGCTCCGTGGCGGGAGCCGCGGCGGGCCCCTCGAGAGCAGCCAGACCCCCGCAGCACGTGCGGCAGTGAGGCGTGTGCCGGGGCCGCCTGGGGGCGCATGTGGGCGCTGTCAGTTTGGACACACGAAATGGGTACGGAAAGAATGGGCACGATGCCCAACAACAAATGCTGTCCCAAGCCAACAGCGGCCGCTGTTGGGCAGGCGGCCTTCTGTCTCGAATGGACGCAGGCCGCGGCGGCGTGGACAGCGAATCCTGTTGAAAATGAACAGGAATTGTTGTTGGGCATTTTACCCATTCTTTCAGTACCCATTTCGGGCGTCCAAAGTCAGGTGTCAGGCCCCTCGTTGGCTATGTTTCGGAGGCTGATAGACAAGGGCCCCCTCGAGGGCGCGAAGTGATTCGCGCTTCGCGGTTCGGCTCCGATTCCTCCTCATCCTCCTCTTCTCCCCCTGGGAGGCGGCGCGAGAGCGCGAAGTTATTCGCACTTCGCGCTTCGCGCAACGCGAAGCGCGAAGTTGGGAGCCCTTGGATAGACCTCCTACCCTGACACGTCGATGAGCGGATTGGCCGTGTTCGGTTCGCGAGAGGGCGTCGTGGCTGTCATTTTTGCGGGTCCAGGTCCGTCGGTTTCGGTCCTAGGACGGTTTCTTTACAGGGAGGTTTACCAAAGGGAGGTTTGTCCACCGCCAAATGTTGGGCACTTTTTGGGCAGCTTGGAGCCTCGTCGAAGCCTCCTCTGGGCGTCTTGGGGCTCTCTTCGTGCGTCTTGCGGCCCCGGTAGGCTCGACTGGGAGCCCTTGCAAAGCTCTCTTCAGTGCCTTGGGAGGGGTCTTGGAGCGCTCACGGACGTGTTCTGGGTCGTCAAGGGGGTTGAAAGAGCAAGCGCCCTAAACCATCTACGTCCACAGGATTGGTGGTATGAAAGCTTGGTCGTTTCTCGGTTGCCATGCTCCACGCGCAGCGTATGTTCAGCGCAGATGGTTAAGATTTGAGCCACGTGGGTAACACGCGCGATGAACGTTGCCCTTCTGGTCGTGTTGCTCAGGAATGTATCTATCCCGGCCGACATGGCGAAAGACTTCGAGGCGCGTGGGGCTTGCGACAGGGGAGGGAGGGAAACGGGGCAGGTGCGGGGAAGGACGGAGAGTTGCAGGGGGGGAGATGAGAGGGTGCGAGTGGGCAGCGAGGCACGCAGGAGGCGGGGATGGGGAGGGGGGGGAGAGGCAGAGGGTGAGACAACGCGAGAGAGCGAGAGAGAGAGAGAGAGATGGAGACACCCTCGCAGCGTGGGCGCGTTAAATGGTGGGGGTTCACGGCCGCGCCGGGGAGCACGACCGAGCAACAGTGCCCCGACCTTGGTATGTCCGCATGGTGTATTCCTCCCCTCCCCCTCGCCTCCTCTTCCGGGGCTCGTTTCGATTGCTCCGATTCGATTCGATTCGATTTCGATGGATTCCGATTCCGATTCGATCCGATTTCCGATTCCGATTTGGATTACGATTCCTCAACGGAGGCCTACTAGCCTGCCGATTTCTGCCGATTCGTCTCTTCCCGACTCGGCTTCCGATTTCCGCCGATCCGATTCATTTCGATCGCCGATCCGACATCAATTTGATCATTGGGGCGCCTGCTCTTCTCGTCGACATCCGTATCCTTCTGCTCCGTTTCCTTATCATACCTCAAGAGGCTTCCACCATTCCGCCGAACCTTAACGGTAAATGCCCGCGCGAACAGTCGGGGATAAGTGGTTATGTAAGCATAGACCTCTGAGAGCAAGTTGGAGGTCGATTGGGTCCCTTTTTGGGGATGGAGCTTTTGGAGCCTTCTTGCATTTTTGTCAGGGGCCCTCGTGGGGGCTGGGGGCGCTCAGGGAGTCATCCTGGAGGCAAGTGGTCCTTGCATTTGGGCCCCCCGCTTGGATAACAGCCATTATTTGCGTTTCGGGCCCCCTCGGGACGTTCTTGCAGCGCTCTTGTGAAACTCTGGGTCCGTCTTGGAGCGATTGCAGGCTCGTCTTGGGGCTCTTTTGGGCGATGATCCGGAAGCATCTCGAGGCCTGGGAAGCCCATCGGAAGCGACCCGCTCAAACGACAGCGAGTACTGACACTCGGTGGGTCTAAGAACCATCTGACTTCTCGGGGGTACCATCCTGGAAGCTCCCTGGCCTCCCGGGAGTCGTCTTGAGGCCACACGGCCGTGTACCCGGGAGCCCTGCGGGAGGCGCCCGGGAGGCGTCCGGGAGGCGTCCGGGAGGCGTCGAAGGGTGAGCTTTGGAGGCCCAGGGGGCCCAGGGAGCCCAGAGTGCCCAGGGAGTCCGCTGGGCAGGTCGTGGCCCCTCGGCGGCGAGATCCGAACTCTACCCTCGCCGATCAACGACTCGGGCTCGTAATTCGTCGAGCGCGCTGCGGAGTCCGGACCCTGCTCGCGGCTCCCGTCGATGCCATCGATAGGAGGCGGGGCGCGGGTAGGGTGCGCACGTCGCCACCGAGCCCCCGCACCGCTTATTGGATCCCCGGGGAGCGGGGGAAGGGGGAGGTGGACAGCCAACCATCGCATACGCCTTCTCACCCCTGGCACGCCGTGGTCGCTGGGCTCCTCCCCCTTTTCATGAGCCCTCTCCAGAGGACAAAGGACTCCTTCCCTTTTTCGACTCTTATCCCCCTCGTGCTCCCCTGCTTCCCCCCTCCCCGTGACCCGTTCAATTACATGGTGGGGAGGACAAGACGCTCTATGAGTCGAAGACGAAAGAGAGCGAGGCAGCCGCGTCGGCCAGGGTGCGATGCTCATGTCTGCGCGGAGCCCTGCTAGCGAGCCAGAGAAATGGTCGCTGTCGTTGGAGGGCTAGGTTGCAGATCATTCGCGGGGGGGGGGAGTAGAGAAGGAGAACAGGGAGCAGTAAGAGGGAGGGGTCTGTATCGTGTCAGACGAAGAGGGTATTGTAGGGCATGTGACGAGAGAGGTAGCGCTGATGAAAGGAAGTCGGCGGCTAGCGGATTCCCGGCCGGCTTATCGCACGTTGCAAGTTGTTGTTGATGTGTTTTGACACCCTTGCCAGTGTCCTCGAAGGTACTGCCCAACTCATCGGGACGTGTGCAGCGGTGTGAGGGAAAGGGGACGAGATGGACAAGATGGGGGAAGGTGGAGGGACGCGAGACGGGGAAGAGAGCGAGAGGGAGTGGAGGAAGGATGAGGGATGTCCTACTCTCTCCCTGCCCTCCCCTCGAGAAGGAACAAGTTGCTCAAGCATGCTCCTTCCGATGTCCGCGCGGACTTCTTTGATCGGCGCTGGATCTCCAAAGCGCGCTGGGGGCGGCGCCAGCGGCACCTCCAGGGGGCCCAGCACCGATCCAAGAAACCCGTGCCGACCTCAGAAGGTGTCTCTGCATCCAGTGTTTCGTTCCTATAATTAATCCGTCTCTCCTCCGCTCCCATTTCTGCCCTTCTCTCCTGCCTGCCTACCCTCCGCCCTCGCGTTTCGCCGACACTGCCCCCCCCCCAAAAACCCTCCGCACCGCAGATGAAGCAGGAGTGTGACCAGCTCCGCCTGGACAACGCGGAGGAGCCCAAGGGAGTTCTGGAGTGCCGCCGTCACCGACACACTGTCCCTCCTCGCTTCCCCTCCGCCTCGCCTCCTCTCCCACAGGAGTCATCTAGGGCTGGGACTGCTTGATGCCCGCTCGGGCCATCAGAGTCCATGTGGAGGCCTTTGGGCACTCTTTGGGTGTGATCTGGGGGGCGCCGCTTTCTGGCAAACCTTGATGATCTGTCGGGCCACATCCAGGCCGTGTTAGGGTCTTCTTCGCAATCATGGAGGCGATGTTGAGCCAGAAGGATTGGCAAGTGAACGACTTCGACCAGCCGCCTCAAGATTACATAGGCTTACGCCACGTCTGCCGAACCTCCTTTATGTTTGGGGATTTCTGAAGTGTGTGTGTGTGTATGTGTCTGTGTGTATGTGTCTGTGTGTGTGGTGGTGGGGGGCTGCTGCGGCGCTCAATTGGGTTCCCGTGGCTATTGTGGAAGATTTGTACGATCATTGGTAATGCTACTGGGCGGGAAAAGTGCCTCGAAGGAGAGAGAGGAGAAGCTCTGCATCGCCAGGCACGCGAACGGAGGCAACGCAAATGGGGGGGAGTTAACATGAATCTGACGTCTGCGCCGTCAAAGAGGCCAGCGCGGTTTCGTTCCTGACAAAGCGCGCATCGGACATGATGCCGCACAAGCAAGGGCAAAGTAGCAACGAGGGGAGTCAGCATTGAGTATGACGTGTGCACCCCCATGGATGTGAAGGGTTTTCGACAGGGATGGGGAGCCAGCCAGCAGCGGAAAGCAAAATGACGTCGGTGTGCTCGCCTCTCGACCAGCTTTCTTCCTCGGAGGCGGTTTCAATCCGTTTGGGGGCCGTTTGGAAGCCTCCAGGGAGTTCGTTTGGGCTTCCTTCGGGTCGTATCGGGGCCGTCTTTGGCTGCCTGGGGCCCTTCCTGGGACGTCTTGAGGCCATCTTGGATTGTCCTGGGCTCCTCTTTGGGTCCTCTTCGGCTGCCGTGGGCGTCTCTGGAGCCGCCCAGGGGCCGCCTGGAGCCGGCTTGATGCCCTCTTCGAGGCCTCTTGGCCCGTCTCGGATCGATCTCCAGGGCCGCTGAGGCAGTTCGCAGAACATGCACGGTTTCCTTCGGGAATTTGCTGGTGTTGGCCTTCGCGGGTGGCGTTTGGGATGCTTCGTGGGCTGTCTTGAAGCCATCTCAAGGCGACTGAGTGCCATCTGGGATCGTCGAGGAGTCCCCAGGGGCCATTTCGAAGCCGTCGGAGGCCCTCCAGGAGCTTTTGTGAGGCGGTCGGGGCCGCAGGCGCTGTTGGCCGGACCTACCCCCTCCAAACAGCTGGTCGGAGGGGTTTGGGGAGGGGGTCGTTTGGCCTCTTAGGGACGCATTTTCATTGACTTCAAGTGGGAGGCTGATGTGACAGAGCTGTTCGAGCTGCAACCCAGACCTGCTATCTTTGGAGTCATGTTCGAGTATGTAGGTCGACCTCTGTCGGACTCGCCGATGCCAGTCGTCTCGATAGTCCCCGTGATATGCCACATGTGGAGTCCTTCATGCGTTCACCCATCAGTTCTTCTCATGTCGTATGTGCTACAGTGTAGCACGGCCGATGCATCAGCGGTTTGTGCTGTGCCAGCCGTCAAAAGTGTATGAATGGTTATTCGCACCGACCTGGCATGACATTATCGTCATCCTCCCCACCCTCTGTCGTTCCATTAAGTGGATCTGTTTGGGCCCTCATTCTAACATGCATAATACACTTCTTTACACTTTTACAGAGGCTACTAAAAGCCGCTGAAGGCCACTGAAGGTCGCTAAAAACCACTACAGGTTGCTAAAAGCCGACTCGAGGCCACTGAAGGCAGCAATAACACACAAAAGACCGCTGAAGGCCACCGAAGGCTACTAAACCGAGGTGGCATATGTTACAATGAGCTCTCAAAGTGGCTAACCTTACTTCAGATCCTTTCCCCCTCTCGAGCCGCGACTGCAGCCGCGGCCGTGGCTGCAGCCGGAAGAAGAACACCATCACGAACAACTCGCGATACTTTCCCCCTCCCAGCTGCGGCCACAGCCGCGGCCGGGGCTGCGAGCGCAGCCGCGGCCGCGGAAGGGAAAATTATGTTCCCTCGTCCCTCTGCGCGCTCATCTTTCCTCGTCCTGTAGAGGAGAGGGTAGAGGATAGTTGTGCAGGGGAGTCCGTGGGCCTAGACTCGGGTAACTCGTGCTCGGGTCGGGGCCCCGGGCGGTGCACGAGTTTCTCGGTGTAGCTCTGGGGCCAGTGTCCCCCAGGCGTTTTGGATCCTCCCCTCGAGGATAGCCTCTGGGCCTTTGAATGTCTAGGTGATTGACGAACCTGGCCTCCACTGAGTGTTTCTTCTTCTTCTTCTTCTTCTTCTTCCTGGTGCTCCCCTCCAGCCTGCGGCCCTCAACCGAGGCGCTGCATAAGCTGCGGGAGGAGTGCGACAACATCCTCATGGCAGAGCCCCGCCCCCGCGCGGTCGCCGCAGGGGCCGGCTGCCCCTCCTTCAGAGGAAGGGAGAGGTATCGGGCATAGCCACAACCCCAGGTAAGGGGGCCTGTTAGTGGTAGGGCCCCGGAGCCATTGAATTGGCTAGAATCACTAAACCAGGTCTGCCGTAGCTGTTTTTTTTGGGTGACGGCAGTTCCGGTCAGTGGAATTGGCGAGGGGGGCGTCCCCCAATGCACATGTTCAAACCAGGTTCCCGTAAACCCAGTTCTGCCAACGCCCAAGAGGTACCCATATTTACCAGTCTGAATCAGGAGGGGAACAAGCACACAGACATAATCAACCGCCGACTCGCAGGAACATATGGGACAATATGGAAAGTGGGGGGAAGACGAAAACCCCGCAAATATGGGAAAACATAGGGGGATCCTGCTATTTGTGTGTCTATTTATTTGTGTGTCCCATGGCCCCTTCATTGAAACGTATGCCTATCCCTGTGTTTGGCATCACCACACCTCGATGCCGATCTGAAGGTTTCCCTCAGTTTCTGAGGGAACATCCGTAAGACTGTCCTCGCTTTTTGCTCGCCCATCTGAGGGATAGGGATAAGTTCGAGTCTGGTTACATACCGCCACCCTTCGCCCGTGTTCTCCTCCTTGGGAGGCCCTCGTTGCCACTGCTGGATTAGCCTCGAAATCCTGGTCAGGACGCACCCCAGGACGGGGTCAGGGGAGTAGAAAGTACCCATACCGCTCCCCTTCGCCCGTTTTCCCCTCCTGGGAGGCCCTCGTCGCCACTGCTGGATTCGCCCGAAAAAAAAATCCTGGTCAGGACGCACCCCAGGACGGGGTCAGGGGAGTAGAAAGAACCCATACCGCTCCCCTTCGCCCGTTTTCCCCTCCTGGGAGGCCCTCGTCGCCACTGCTGGATTCGCCCGAAAAAAAAATCCTGGTCAGGACGCACCCCAGGACGGGGTCCGGGGAGTAGTGGTATCGCTACCTTTGGGTTTCCCCAGCCTCCACATGTTTCATTTTCTTGGATCTCATCGGCATAAGCATGATCGCGAGCAACGTCACCGTCATCATCATCACCATGTGTCGGGCACCGTTCTCGAGACGGCACCTGCGCAATTAATATTTCGGGCAGCGCAAGATGCAGGTTGCACTGAAGGTTCTGCGCGGCGATTCGTCAGTGATGGCTCTGCGGTGGCCGGCTTAGACGCGCGCCATGCGGAATGTCTTTTGGCGTAGAGGTCACATGGTTCACCGAACCTCGGCGACGAGGTCGCGTTCAAGGCGGTGCTCCAAGGTGCGTCCCAGCCCATGGCTTGGTTCATCTTAAGAACGCCCTGGGCGGTTGTGTTCGCCTTTCCTAGTTTGGGCTCTTGACAGCCTGAAAACGCTAAAAGAACGCTACGATGTTTTAGCGTTGTTCGGGTCGTGTTTGGAGCGTTTTCAGGTTCCTCGCAGTGGTATAAGTTTTTTTTGTGCTTTGCACTATCGTCGAAGGCTCCTTGTCTTCTCTGCCAGCTTGGCCCCCCCCCTCACGGTTTGCCACCGTTCGCCCGTTCTGCCCCCCCTTCCCTATGCCAGGTCGACGCGCCTGCCTCGATCCATGAGCTGCGTACACGGGGGGGGGCCCAAAAATCGTTTCCCGCGCGGAGACCTAACAGCGCCAACAAAGACGCTCTGACCACCAGTCGAACAGCGGAAGGGAGGTGGCAGCAGGGGCGGGCGGGCTTCCGCGACGAGTCACCAGCGACGGTCACAGGAAAACAAATCTGAATAAAGAAGACGATGGGGATACGCAAGGAGAAGGAAGCACGCAATCCACGGATCTGAATACGCCGAAACATGGTTTCTAAACGCTAAAACAAAGCATATATTGTTTAGCGCTTACGTTTTTTTTGATGAGGCTTGAAAACGCTAAAACAAGGTTTTCCAAGACGCCGAGCTGACAACGCTAACAAAAACGCACTGGGCACACTTACGATGAACAAAGGCCCATGGGGGAAGAGGGGAGGCATGAATATTGTTTTGTAGGTTCGGTACTATGCATCCGGAATCCGAAAAGGCGGGCGGATTTTCACGGGGCCATGGGGGCTACGAATGAGAACATTATGACAGTTTCTCATGGCGGTTGGCGGGATCATGGAGTTCACGAATGATGATCGAGCAGCTGTTTGTTTCATGGGCCTGGAAGCCTTCCGGACACCAGCGTGTGGCATCACCCGTCGAAAACATGAATGGCGTTGCCATACAGGAAATATTGAGATCAGAAGGCACGCGCGTTTTCTTTGAATGTGTGCGTGTTATCCGTTCGCCTTGGTACCAACATTTGGCATTTCTCCAGCTACCACGCTGATTTGGTCGTCTGATTGGCGTGACATTGGTATTATGTTGACTCTCCGAGCTATGCTCTGCCCCCAGATGTTTGCAACCGTCACACGGAACCAGGCCGGGTTGGTCTGCAATCGGGTATAGCCAGGACCCCAGGTAGGGGGACCCGGTTAGTAGTAGGGCCCCGGAGCTCCTATATTGGCCAGAATTACTAAACCAGATCTGCCGTAGCTGGTGGTTTGCGGGTGACGGCAGTTCCGGTTAGTGAAACGGGGCGGGGGGGGCGTCCTCCAGTACACATCACTAAACCAGGTCCCACTAAAACCCAGTTCTGCCAACGCCCGTTGCAAGACGCGCCTTCTGGTGCAGCCCCATGAAGCGCAGGTACTGGTCTAGCGGCCGCCAGTACGTGACGGTCAGGGGTGGGTGCGGGTAGATCCCCGAGGTCCACGGGGCATCAACTTCCTGACTGCGTGAATCGGTCCTGGGGCTGGAAGAGCCCGGCTAGATTTTGGAGGCATCACCCGTGGAGTGAGCGTCTTCGTCATTCTCATAATGTTCTGTCTTGGTTTGTCGTGGTCTTCTAGAACCAACCTCGCCATCTTCAATGACATCATCGTCCGCAGCGCCATCATCATCGGAATTCGCGTCAGCATCATCCTACCCCATCCCCTCGTGTTCCCCATCTGTCCCCTCATATTCCTGTCTTTCTTCCTGTCATCCTCCACGCCCTCCTTGTCATATTCCTGAGCCTCGCAGGCATATTGCATGTTTATCCGTAAGGGCTTCGCCTCGTGCCGCCGGCCCCCTCTCTATCATAATGGGAAACATGTGAGGCGCGTCGGTACGTCTCGGAGGTGCTTTGGCGCATCTGGGAACATCATGCGGGGGTGGACAGGAATCATCAGTTCATATTGAGACGCTGGCGTCGACGCCTACGGCGAATCACCACCGCCCCCTGCCTTTTGGAGTCGCCTATGTGGCCGAGCGTTGTGGCAAGAGCTCTGCTAAGCTATCGGACCATGTGTTCCCCCAGCATTTGTTGAAGCCCTTCGGGGAACATTTGGGGATGAAGATCAGGAGGAGGAGGAGGAAGAAGAGGAGGAGGTACCTTGGGAGCCTCTGGGGGCACTCTTGGGGCCTCCTCGGAGCTTCCTGGGAGCCTCTCGGATGCATTTTCGGTGTCTTTGTGGGTCTTTTGGGGGTTGGGGGTTTGGGATGTGTTTTGGAGGTTTCTTTGGCCGTCTTGGGGCATTCCTGGCCCGTGTGACGCCGTCGGCAGCCGTCGTGGGCGCCTATCTCGGCCGACTTGGGGCCTCCTTGGGGTGCCTCAGGGCCGTCTTGACGGCCATCCCGGGCGTCTTGGAGGCATCTCGGGCCGTCTTGGGGGCCTCTTGGCGCCGTCTTGTGGGCCTCTTGGGCCGTTCCGGGGCCATTCTGGAGGCCCTCTTAGGCGATCTTGCTCTGGGGCCGTCGCGGGCCGTCCGAAGGCCGAAAAGAAGTAAATCCCTAAATCCTTCAAACACTGTAGGACAATCAATGATGTTGGCATCTTCGGGCCTTCCTGGAGGCCCTCTTGGGAGCCTCTTGGGCCGTCTTGGAAGCATCTTGGGGGCCTCTTGGGCCGTTTGCCGTCATCTTGAGGCCATCTTGGGCCGACTTGGCTGCATCTTGGGAAGTCTTCGAAGAATATTGAGGCCATCTTAGCCGTCTTGGTTATCTTGGAGGCATCTTTGAGGCCGTCTTGGCGGTCTTGAACGCCATCTTTCGCCGTCTTGGGAGAATGTTTGGGAGACTTCGGCGCCTTGCGGTCCCTTCCGGGTGGTCGGCGGGACGGGCTGAAGCCCCACGGGACAGTATGTTTGGAAAACAAAACCAACACCAAACCAGTAGGGTCTAGCACGCCAGGCACCCCTGCGGCAAGCCAACAGGGGGCGGCGGATCGAAGACCCTACGGCGAATCACCGGCGCCCCCTGCCTTCCAGAATCGCCCATGTAGCCGAGCGTTGTGGCAAGAGCTCTGCCAAGCTATCGGACCATGTGTCCCCCCAACCGTTGTGGAAACCCTTCGGGGAACACTTGGGGGAGGATGGCGGGGAAGCTCAGGAGGAGGCGGAGGAGGAGGAAAAGGAGGAGGGGCACCTTGGGAGCCTCTGGGAGCCTCTTGGAGGCATCTTTGGGGCCTCATTGGGCCTCTTGGGGGCCTTTGGGGGGGGCTTCTCGGGGGCCTCTTCGACCGTCTTCGTGGGCTCGTGACCCGCCTGACGCCGTCGCCACCGTGCCTGGGTTGTGGGTCTGAGGCCTCTAGTATATGTGTTGGGGTGTCGTGGGAAGCCTCTTGGAGGAGGTTCGGGCGCCTCTTGGGGGCGGGCCTCGTGGGGTATCTTTTGGGCCTCTTGGAGGCCTCTTGTGCGCGTCTTGGGCGCCTCTTGGGGCCTCTTGGCGGCCTCTTGGCGGCCTCTTGAGGCCTCCTGTTCGGTGCGTGGTCCCCTGCTTGGGCCCCTCTTGCGGCCGTCGCGGGGCCCTCTTGGGCCGTCTTGAGCGCTTCTTGGGCCATCTTGGAGCCCTCTTGGGCCGTCTAGGAGCCTTGGAGGCCTCTTGGGCTGTCTTGGGGCGGTCATGGGAGCTTCTTGAGCCGTCTTTGAGCGTCGGAGAGCCGAAAGTGCGAGGAGGCCAACATGCGTCAAGAACCTTCGCAAACATCGACGGTTTGGGCCTCTTGGGGTTCTCTCGGGAGGCCTCTTGGAGCGTTATTGGACCCCTCTTGGGCCGTCTTGGAACCATCTTCGGGCGCCTTGGAGCACCCTTGGCCTCGGGGACGCGACTACTGCGTAGTTCCAGAGGGAGTATGACCTCGGGGGCGCGACTCTCTTGGGAATTCTGACAACGGGATCCCGGCACGGTAACGCGGTGGTTTTGGGTTTCCCCCCTCGCGCGGACCTCAACAATTTACATTAGGAAACAGAGAGCTGGACTGTAACACTGGAGACTTGAAACTGCAGCTGGTGCAGGGAACAGCATGCTTCGTCCTACAGCCTGGTGTGATGGGCCTGTTTTCCACCACCACCACCATAAGTTGGAGGGGGGAAGGAGGTGGAGGATGAGGAGGAGGAAGAATAGGAGGAGGAGGAGGAGGAGGAGGAGGAGGAAGAGGATCCCCTCCCCCTCCTATTTTTGTTGGAACTCAAGCCCACCATGGTGGCCCCACAAGGGGGCCAGCGGGTATGTTCCAAGAAGCCATGGCCTTGTTACATGGTCTCAGCTAGGCCTGGACGGCTGTCCGCAGAGGTGCCTCTTTCGTCTCTCGTCTTCATCGTCGTCCGCTTCATCCCTGCCCCATCACTTCAACATGCATCAATCGCACGTCGTTGTTGCAGCGACCACGCCAGGCCGCGGAGGAGCAGCAGCTAACCTCGCTGGCGCAGGCCGATGGCCGCCTGTCCGTTTGACCGCTCCTTGCTCCTCTGCTTGCCCCGTCTTCTCCTCACTCACCCCTCCCTCCCTAATCTTTCCTCCCTCTCTCCTGCCTTTCTCTCGTCCCTCGCCATTCCATCCTCCTCATCCCTCCTCCCTGCTCCTCGCTCATCCGGCCTCCACCCTCCTCCGGCTTTCTCCTTACTCCGCGGTCCTCGTCGTCCTCCTCTTTTTCCCAGAATCCCACACCCCTGCCGGTGCCCTGCTGACTCAAGGTTCCAGACTCGCCTCGTTCACCGCAACCCCTCCCCAGTTCTCGCCCGACGATCAAAGCATGGGACGAATTTGGGGTGAATGCACGTCGAGCGAAGTCCAGGACTGCCCTCGGACCCAGCAAAGTGCCCCAATAAAACTTGCATCTGCCCACAGACGGCCCAGGAGGGCTTGCAGAGATCCGCAGTGCCGAGCCTCCCCATGTCAGGATATAGCCCAGTCCAACATCGGTGCAATCCGGGCCCGCGCTGGGGTCGGCTTGGACCTCGATTCGGGATCCAAATTGGGCATAGATTTAAGTCGGGCCTGTCCCTCTGCAGGACGAATATTCGAAAATAATGAAAAAATAGTACAGGGACGATGTTTCACGATTTTTTGTTTATTTTGGGGTAGTTTGGGATATTTGTTTGATTTTCGCCCAGAATCCGCCTGTAGGGGGACATGCCCGACCTAAGCATAGATTCGTCCGACACTGGCGCCCACGCACAGCGGCGCAAGAGAGTGCCCGTGCCTCGAGAGATGCCACGGGCGAGCCCGCAGCGCTGCTCGGAGAAGAGGCGAGGCCCCCGGGCGGTGGCCCGGGCAGGCGAAGCCGAGAGTCGGCTGTGTGTGTGGAAGTGATGTGAAGGTCCCAACCTGTCCGAAGTTTTGCCGAAGATGCGGGGCCCAGCGAGTCTCGGGCCGTCCACCTCCTCCCCCGCCTCCTCCTCCGCCTCCTCCTCCTCCTCCTCCGCCTCCTCCTCCTCCTCCTCCCTCTCCTCCTCCTCCTCCTCCCTCTCCTACCTATGGTAGTGGTGGTGGGACATGAGCCCATCATGGCGCCCGCGCGCCCGAGCCACGGTCGGGCCGAACAAAGGGGGGGGACAGGGAAAGGAGGTGTTACGAGATCTGCTGCGTTCGGCTGGTTTCGGCCCCGCCGCCGGGCCCACGCCTCGAGGCACGGGCGCCTCCCGGAGCCGGGAGGCGCTGGGAAAAAATCAGCTGCTTCTCTGCCCTGCCCTTTGCCATCCCCCCCTCTCGTTCCCCCCCGAGGGTCGGCCGCGAAAGACAGGAAGGGGCCCCACGAGGAGCAGCCAGGGAGCGCAGAGCGCCGTCGGCCGGGCGTCGGGAGCGGTGTGGGCCACGATCTGGTCTGGAGCCGCCGCGGGCTCCAAGCAGCCGCGAGGGTGCGCAGCTGAGCGGCGGAACGGCGGAGCCTGCGGGGGGAGGGGGCGACGGCGGGCTGAAGCCGTGACAGGAGCGATGGAAATACGGTTCCACGGTTCCGCATCGCGTTCCTCAGGCCAGTGGGCGGGCGGGCTCAAGAGGCTGGCCCTCTTCAGGTGGACGCGCGAATGTGATTATGTCCGTTTCCCGTACTCCCAGCTGCCCCGCGGAGTGGCCTCTGAAGCCCCCGAGGTTCTTTTGGCGGGTGCTCTTGGAGGCCGCGGGGGCGCGTTCGGAGCCACCGTGGAGGCCATCAATCTAAAATGGGGTCCTACATCAGTACCCCCCGCTTGGATGGCGAAGACTTGTCTCGTAGGCCCTCTTGAGACGTTCTCAGGGTGCTGTTTGGGGCCCTTGGGCCGTCCTGGAACGCCTCGGGGCTCTTTCGGGCGATCTTGGAATCATCTCCAGGCATCGGAAGCCCATCGGAAGCCCAAAAAGGCGAAAGATGCTCGAGACCAAGCCAGAGAGACACGACACCGTTTTTTTAGAACATGGCTCAGGCTTATTGGGGAGGTATGGTAGGTTCGGGTCGTGCTGACGCGGCTGCGAGCCCAGCGCGGGCTTTCAAGGTGGAATGCTGCCACTGGCCCCGAGTCGGCCAATGCGGAACGACCTGGCGATCGAAAGTCCGCCGTTCGTTCAAGGTTGAACGATCTACGCGGTGTCAGGAACCAAAGCCGGGGTCGTCGCGTCACGAACCTACCGTGTCCTTGGGTTTCCGTGGCCCTTTGGAGCCGTCTTGGGCGCTCCCTCGGCCGTCCTGGACACTGGAGGCGCCCGAGAGTGGGTTTTTGAGGCGAGGCTCGGACGGGGCTAGGACGAGGATCAATCCGTTCCAGAGCGTGCCAGAACGCTCTCAGAGCGTTCCGGAACGCTTTCCGAAGGCCGCGGCGCTGGAGACATCCCCCAGAGCCGCTGGATCTCAGAGACTCTACAGGCTTACGCCACATCCGCCGACCCCTTCTGTGAGTGTTGCGAGGCCAGGAGTTTCTGGCCAGCGGCGTCTTGTGTGAGGGTGCGGTGTCGCGCGCGGGTGGTGGCAGATACGTAGGGGGTCCAAATGTTTGCGTGATGCCGGTGGTCTGGGGCGTGTTTTGCGAGCGCTTTGCGTGCTGTGCACCCGGGTGCGGGGTGTCCTTCTGGGAGGTCGGCCTTTCGACCCGCAACCAAGTGGAGGAGCACTGGAAGACGAAAGGAGCAAGAGTAGTGTGTGGAAGCTGTGATCAGCGAAGCATCACAGCGAAAGATGTGGCAGATGAATCGAAACGGGTGAAGAGGCTGTTGACGTTCGCAGCGCGCACGAAACAGTTCGCGCGGCAGCAGCACATTAGCGCCGAGCAAGATAGTGAGCACGTCGCGAGGAAGAGTAAGGTTGTATGCGCGGAGTGCATTGCAGTTGGCGTGACGGCTCGCAATACGGAAGCGTCTGGGGGTCTTTTGGGGGCCTCCTGGGGGCCTCTTGTGGGCTCCTTGGGGCGTCTTGGCGGTTTCTTGAGGGCCGTTGGCGGCCTGTTGGGGCGCTCTTGGGGCCCCCTGGGGCTCGTGGGGGCGGAAAGCTAGATTTTTGAATTGTTGGTTGCCCTCTTGGGCCCCTCTTGGTGCCGTCTTGGAGCCTTCTTGGGCCGTTTTGGGGACCTCTTGGGCCGTCTTGGGGCCATATTGGACCGTCGCGGGGCCGTCTTGGGGGCCTCTTGGGCCGTCTTGGGGCGGTTTTCGGGGCCTCTTGGGCCGTCTAGGAGCGTCGGAAAGCCCAGAATTTCACGACGGGAATACGTACATGTCTGCGTCCAGGGACCGTCTTGGGACGCATCTTGGGGGCCTCTCAGGGGCGTGTTGGGCCATCTGGAGGCCATTTCGGGTGTCTTCGATCGCTCTTGGACCGTGTGGGACCATGTTGAGCTCTCTTGGAAGCCAGTTGGAGCGCTCTTGGGGCCGTCATCGGGGCTCTCTTGGGCCGTCGTCGGCGCCGCTTGAGCCGTCTTAGCGCCTTGTTGGGCTGTCTTGGGGCCCTCTTGGAGGCTTCTTGGGCCGTTTTGGGGCGGTCTTGGGGGCCTCTTGGGCCGTCTGGGAGCGTCGGAAAGCCCGAAAGGCGAATTTGTGAAAAACGCACGCTTTACGAAGGGAGCGGGCTAATTTTTGCGTCTAGAGGCCCTCTTGGGACGCATCTTGGATGCCTCTTGGGGCCTCTTGGGGGCATCTTGGGCCGTCAGGAGGCCATCTTCGGTGTCTTTGATCGCTCTTGGGCTGTCTGGGACCATATTGAGCTTTCTTGGAGGCCATTTGGGGCGCTCCTGGAGCGCTCTTGGGGCCCTTTTCGGGGCCCTGTTGGGCCGTCTTGGACGCTTGTTGGGCCGTCTTGGGGCCCTCTTGGGTTATCTTGGGACCCTCTTGGAGGTTTCTTGGGCCGTCTTGGGGCGGTCTTCGGGGCCTCTTGGGCCGTCTTGGAGCGTCGGAAAGCCCAGAAAACGAATTTGTGAAAATTATACGTTTTACAAAGGGAATGGGCCAATTTTTGCGTCTAGGGACCCTCTTGGGACGCATCTTGGAGGCCTCTTGGGGCCTCGTGGGGACTTCTTGGGCCGTCTTGGAGGCCTCTAGGCTCGTCTTGGGGCCATCTTGGGCGTGTGGGAGCGCTCGTTTGGCGTCTCGGGGCCCTCGTGGGCCGTCTTGGAGGCCTCTTGGAGCCTCCTGGGCCCGTTTTGATCCCCTTTTGGGCCCAAAAGAGCCCCGTGACGCGCTCGTACTGGGCCCGGGGGGGGGGGGTCAAATCTCCGGTTTGGGGTCCCTGGGGGGGGGATTATGGGGGGGGGACTATCTCACACGCCTAGAGACCCACAAGGGGTCGGCGGATTCTCGACGTATCCTCACCCGATTTGATCGTCGCCCTGGCTTCGTCTTGGCTGGGGTGCTCCTCTTCCCCCTGCCCCCCCTCCGACGGCAGCCCGGACTCCTCGGGGAGGGGGCGGGGGGCGCGGGGAACCCAGTTCCCCCTCGCGTCGTGAGGTAGCCACGGCGGGCGCGGTTGGGCTACCCTCGGCTTCTGGAAGCCCTTGCAGAAGGCGGCGGGGTTTCGCAGGAGGCCCCGGGCCTTCGGAGAGGTTCCCTGCGTCTGCTTGGGAAGGCCAAGGAGACTTCTCCGGAGGCCGGGGGACATCCGAGGCTTCTGAGAAGGCCTGGCTGAGCATCAGCATCATGGAGCAGCTCAAGCACCAGCAACGTCCAGTCACCTTGGAAAATCCATCCGGATCCTCATCAAGAATTTGGCTGCTCCCTCGGCTCCTCAAAGCACAATCGTGGAAGTCGCTTCCCCCCCCAGGCTGGCCGCCAAAGGAGGGCTCGTGCCGAAAAGCGGGTCCTGGGGACCTGGTCGAGGCCCTGGGCCCGACCTGAGCGGTGTCAGGGGGATTTGTTGCGGGTCGTTTTCGTGTCGGCTTCGGTCTGCAGCAAGGGCGGGGAGAAAACAGCGCGAGGGGCAGCCAAACACACAATGAAGACGGACAGCACCGTTTAGGTCGAGCCATGCCGATCT